CACATAATAAGCGGTCTCTTCCTCCTCCCTGTTTCTATTCAGTCCTCTTCCTCCTGAGGAGTTGAACACTCTCATCTATGAAGCCAGTGGTCAGGACATCAGTATAGCTGTTCTCACTCAGGTAAACCTTTAACCTTTTGGACTGCCACATAACCTTTTCAGACACTAATCTTTCAGCTGTTATTCATGTGTGTTTGTCATATATAGGAAATCATGGTCTATCTAGCCATGTACGTGCGCTCCCAGCCTGCTCTGTTTGGGGACATGCTCCGGCTCAGGATAGGACTCATCATGCAAGTGATGGCCACTGAGCTGGCTCGCAGCCTGCACTGCTCTGGTAGGAAAACACAGCACACTTACACACAACTGTAAACACACACAAAATTATAATGCACAGTAAAAATAAAAAATTGCATAACATCTTTGTAGGAGAGGAGGCGTCTGAGAGTTTGATGAGCCTGAGTCCTTTTGGCATGAAAAACCTGCTGCATCACATCCTCAGTGGCAAAGAGTTTGGGGTGGAAAGGAGCAGTGAGTTTTTTCCCTTTGTCTCTCATTCCTTGTCTTTAAAGAACGTAAATGTTCATTTATGGTTGTGTGTTGCACCCTTTAAGTGAGACATTTTATAGAGGTTTGACAACGAAGTAGAGTAAAGTAGAGCTGAGAAATAATTGTAAGAGGAGGAAAGCAGTAAGGTAAATTTATGAACTAGGAAAAGAATGTAATAAAAGATGATAACAAAGTAGTCAGAATGAATCGCCATTTTATTTCATTTTCATTGTCAGTCGACACTATAGCTGCTGTAGCTTAATATTTATAACCATGGTAACAGCATAGCTCTAGGGTTTTCCATCAGTTTGGTCCAGACTGAAATATAACTATTTGATCGATTGCCATGAACTAAAAGTACCGCCGCACAGAGCTTCTAGCATGTCTGTTGACTAGTTTTTTTAACAACCCGTACAACTGGGTTGATCTCATGATTGATTTGTCACCTTGTTATGGCTCTGACACAGGAATATGACCATTTAAGATCCCACCTAGGTCTGCTTGACCTGTCAAGCACAACACCAGCAAACAACAACCAACATCAGAGATGTTGACAACAATTCAGAGGGCTGGAACCAAACTATAGAATATGTTTGTTTTTTTTCTCTCATGTTCATCAGTGCGTCCAATACAGTCAACAGCCACTAGTCCTGCCATCTCCATCCATGAACTGGGCCACACTGGGGCAACCAAGACTGAACGCACAGGAATACACAAGCTAAAGAGGGAGATAAAACAGGTGGGAAGCACAAATCATAAACTAATAATAATCAGGGTTTATTTCTTTAAATATGCTGTAGCATGTGCTTCATGTCTATCTATCTATCTATCTATCTATCTAACCAACAATGACAGTAACAGTGTTCTTGCTTTTGGTTGCAGCTGGATGACTCTCTGCCTCTCAGTGTGGGTTGGGTTTGATAATATCTAGCATGTAACTGTTTCTAACCTCAGTCTAAACAATCAAACCGCCGGCTAAATCCTGCTCATGAACCACCCGCTGGCTCTTAACATTTCGTGAGCCCTCCATAACTGGAACGACTCTCACATCATCACATATCAGTAGGAGACATGCTTTGCTACTCTGAGTATCACACAGTAACTGTAGAGGAATATTACTTTTAAACCTGTCTACAATTTCATGAACTATTCAACCAATCCAGACCTTGATTAAGCTGCTTTTAAGAAGGCCACCCTCATAACTCATTTCGTGATAGCATTTTGGCATGATGTTGAATGATCTTTCTTGTGATCAGTCAGTTTGTTTCCAAGAATATTTTGTCACTAGTTGATTTTTTTCAGAGTTGCATTAGACTTTTCACTTTACAGATCAAACATTTCCAGTAACATTATGCTCTGTGTGGCTGCAGTATCATCATGACTGTAGTTTGGAGAACCATGCTAACCATCTCAAACTGTTCTCTGTCATCTGTCATCCATATCCATGTGTAGATCTTCAGCGGCGGTCTTTCCTTGAGTAGCAATTTCACCTCTCCTCGCTCCACGGTAAACCATTTCACCTCATCTGCTTCAAATGAACTTGGTTTGTCCTCCCTAGGGTTACCGTAGTTAAAATGTATGTATACACTGCAAACTCATCCTAAAAGCATTTTTCATTCAGATTTCATATGTTCTGTGTCTGGCTGCATTAAGGATAAGGCTGGTACTATTTTATCTTTTTATTACTTTCAACAAAGGTCTTACAGAGACCAAAACCAACAATTATTAACAAGAATATTATTCTCCTTTCCAGTTAAAGGTTTTTTTTGTGGAAGTTCCCCGATCCAAATTGAGGCCCTAAGGATAGAAAGAGAAATATTGTACACATAAATCGCTTTGAGTCCAATTTGTAAATTGACTTGACTGGAAACATGGAGGAATACACCAGACTGAGTGTGTTTATCATAATAAAGAAATATGTCAGCCATTGCAGCAGTAGCTCTTTTATGATTTGGACAATCATTTGTGAAATCAGGCGGTGGCTACACAGATACTACTTGTTAATAAACTACATTAATTTGTTGTTATATGTCTATTAAGATTAATAACACTAAAACATACAATAACATCAGACTTGTCCTTTAATATGCCTGCTGTGATATAGTATGATATCAATATGCATGAATGATTGCATGGACTGTGTAAGTGCAGGTAAGTGTTAAAAAATTATTTTTGTATGTATATTTGTTTAAGAGAGAGGACTACTGCAGTACATATTTCAACCTTATTTACATGTATTTGTTATGATAAATGTATAACACTGTTTACCACCAACAATCTAAAACCTGGTGATGCAATTAGGGCCAGTAGTAGGAAGCTGCATCGATTTTGTTCCTGTTTTTTTAAGCATCTATTTTGAGTGTGACAATGTTATAAGAATGCAGTGTTTAAATGGGTGGAGAACTCTTTTAAGCTCTGCCTGTGTGGTACAAACACAACTGCCAAGTGTAATGGTGTATATAAATCAGATACATAGAGATAAGGTTGAAAATCAGAAGATGGTTTCATCAATTAAAATATGTTCTAATTACTTGTTCTGTCAACACAGCGTTGCAGCAGCCCTTCCACTCCCAGTGGGATCCTGTCCCCAGTGGGCACTGGTCCAGGAGATGGACAACTGCACTGGGAGGAGAGGCAAGGCCAGTGGCTGAGGAGACGCAGGCTGGATGGAGCTATCAACAGAGTACCCGTGGGTTTCTACCAGAAGGTCTGGAAGATCCTGCAGAAGTGCCATGGCCTGTCCCTTGATGGATATGTGTTGCCCTCTTCTACCACAAGAGAGGTAGCATCTAGCTGACTTGTTAAAGTTGGATTCAGGTCTTGTGTGTTTGTGTGTGTGCAGGGTTATGGGTGTGTGTTTCATTCTGTGTTTTCTGTGTAGATGACAGAGGGAGAGATCAAGTTTGCAGTGCAGGTAGAGTCTGTCCTGAACCACGTCCCTCAACCAGAGTACCGGCAGCTCTTAGTAGAGACTGTCATGGTTCTAGGTCTCGTAGCTGACGTGGACGTGGACAGCATCGGTGGCATTATCCACGTGGACCGCATCTTGCACTTGGCCAATGATCTCTTCCTGAATGACCAGGTACGGCTACTGGCAATAGTAACATTTTTGTTTGAAAGGATGTTGGATTATGTGTGTGTGTTCACCAGGGTTCACTCTGTTCTACCTCTGCATCCACAGAAATCCCACAGTGCCAGTGATTATTTTCTTGAGAAGGACCCAGCAACCGGAATCTGCAACTTTTTCTACGATAGCGCCCCCAGTGGCAGCTATGGCACCATGACCTACCTGTCCAAGGCGGTGATCACATACGTCCAGGACTTCCTTCCGAGTTCCAGCTGCCTGATGCAGTGAAAAGGCTCCCGTCTTGCTGTTCTTGTGAAGTGTTTAATAACTAAAGGATCAACTGTCCAAAGGCAACAAAGCTTCTCATTATCAGCTCAAACAATTCATGTGGTGCTTGTAAGTATTTACTCTTCAGTCAACCCTGTAGCTCTCATATACTGATATAACATCATAGCTTTGGCAGCTGATTGCAAACCACTATGTAAGAATTTATTTTTTCTTTGAGTCTGGACTGTGAACTTATTTATTTCTTATACATTCTGCTAAAATGTATACTTACAGGACTTATGGAAATTAAAATTTGCATAAGATATATAATGGTGTTGTGTGTGAGAATAATATATCAACAGTCTAGTAAACCAATATGTCATATGTAATAATTATACAGAGCCCAGCACTTATCAGATTTAACATTTTGATCATTTTGGCACACTAATAATTATATTTCCTCAAATTAATAATTTGTACTTGTACTGTAATGGCTGGCCTAAATATGTGGGATATATAATAAACTAGAAATCTTAAATTTACAGTTTTTACCCTCAAATTACTTTATTTCTCCCTCCACAAATTACTAATTTGTGCATAAGCATTAACACATTCTTACTTCTGATACCTTCCAGGCTCTTTATAATTCAGTGTTGAGACGTGTAGTCTTGTATTTTCGTGAACCTGTATGGGAACAAGAATCAAAAGTTTTCTTTTTGTGTGTGTTTTGTGTTTTTTACACTGAATGAAAAGTAATTAATCTGTCTGCATACGAATGTTTAACCCCAAGGTTTTGCTACTGATAAGGCAAGCCAACATTGTTCATATATCTCAACATATTTAAGGTTTATTCATTTATAAAGATACGTTTATTTCTGGAATGTTGGGGTGGAATTCTGCTTTAATAGATGTTATTTATTTAAACAATATGCATATATGTAATATATGCATGGTGTATATAAAGAAAGACATGGCAGTACAGCCAGATATTGGTTAAGTAGCAGAGAGGTCTGGAGTAAGTTGAATAGGGTCTTTGTAAGTCTAAGAAGAACGTTATTGAATACTTGGTTGTTCAAGTTTTGTGCACAGGACACAGAAAGCAAAACAGCAGGAAACATAGTAAATGTTGATATATTTTATTGCTAACCCTAACCCTTAAAATATAGCATATACTTAAAATATATATCAAAACCAGATAGAAATAAATAGAGAAAATTAAAAAAGATTATTATCATATATTTTACTATCATCATACATATGCAGTGCACCTATTTTATATTTAAGGGCCTGTTCAATTATTTTGACAATGCAGTTTCCCCTCACTTCCATCAGAAAAATATGTTTATTACATTACATTACATTTACATATGTTCTATATTTCTAAGTATATTCATACACTAATAAACATGTGACTAACAATATTAACCTTGCATTTATCTGTTTTTTGTTTGCCATGTATATTTTCATATACTAGCAGCAGTCGGAGCTCTGATGGCAACACACAACAGTCTGGGCTGGATTTAATAAAATGTTTATTTTGAGGTACTTTCCAGCTCAGCCAGCAGTGTTTGCTGTTGTCCTGGGTAGACATTTCTTCCAGCTGTAGGGGGAGAGGCGATGGGAGGGTGGACAGGCACATTTATGTCCACCTTTTTGGTTCACACACAGGTGGGAACACCCTCCATTCTTCCGACTGCACTCATTAATGTCTAGAGGAGAGGGAGGTTAATTAATTATCAGTGTAGCATTACAGTGAATATTCATATTTGAACCCTTCTGTCTATATGAATGTCTATATGAACTCTTGCTACTGACAGCAGCAAAAATTAAGAGACTTAAAAGCACAGTGACGACAAGACTCCAAACTATCTGTTTCCCCCCCATTTCTAGTCCATAAGCTGGCTGCTGACTTCAGATTCATAATGGGGGACAGATTTATGATAGTATTAATCTTCTCATCTAATTCTCTGCAAGAAAGTTGAAATACTCCTTTACATGAACCTGATTGATTGGGCCATTAATAAATTACCAAATTCACATAACACATGGGTGATAATATATAAATGAACAATATCTGTTTAAAGAATATAGTTTATATCATTGTTGAGCTATTGTCATAATGCATCTTCACACAGACACACTAATGTTAAAGTGTCTTACATGTACCATACATGGTACTGTTACAGATTTGTGTGAGCATGACCCCACTGACCTTTGCAACGTCGCCCATCTCTTTCCAGTGTGTATCCTCTGGGGCAGATGCAGCGGTGAGAGCCTGGCAAGTTAATACACTGCCACGCACACATTTCCTCCTGGCACTCATTTATATCTGTGTGTAGACACAAGGAAACTCAGACTTTGGACAGCTGTTGGGAATATCTATAAAATAGATTTTTTTTCCTACCTACACACTCCTCCTTAAGAGCTTGTGCAGTTGAGTTCTCAGGTGTTGTGGGTTGCTTCATGTACCCAGGCGGAC